AAAACGGTTCAATAACCGGTCCAATTTTAAAAACCTTGATCATGCTAATGGTAATTAATTATCTGTCAAAATTTTTCATTAGTTGCCTACCAAAATTAAATTACTACACAAATACCTGCCAAAATTTTCCCATTGGTTACCTACCATAATTACATTATTATACCAATACCTGCCAGATTTATTCGATGCAATTTATTTATTTAAAATTTTAAAGTATTATGTAACTTCAAAAAAAAAAATAGCAATAAAAAAATATTTTAAGTGAAACTAATACTGTTTCATATCTTGAATGGAATAACTCTAATTTAGGGTTTTTAAATATATTTATAGCTTTTAAATTTTAATTAACTTAAAAGAGAAAAAAAAACCAACCATATATGGTTGTCGTGGCCACCATAGCAACCTTGGCAATGGACTCCTGCCATTATAGTACCGAGACATAATGGTAATTAAAAATTATTACTGGAGATCAGCCTGTTTATGATTTTGTTATGTTATTAGGTATTAATTTATTGTGTGATACAACAATGTAATTGTCATGGTGTAGCATGGAATGCTCATCCCTAATTTGAAATTAGCTAAAACAATTAATAAATTTTAAAAAATTCCAGAGATTTGGGATTTGGCAGGCCTTTTCCTGTTTTAAGGGTCCTTGTGGCTCTCATAAAATTCAACTAAAATTTTTATTAGGGACTTAATAGCTACTAATGGTAGAATCAAACTTGGTTATTTAAAAATAAAAAAAATGGAACTATTTTTTGTCTAAATAAAAAATTTGAGATAATACGATATTTCTATTAAGATCGGAGATTAAGGGTCTGTTCGGCAAAGCGGTTTGGAGATAAATGTTAGCGATTTTATCCAAACAATTAAGAATAGATATTTGGTAAACTTATTTATTTTAAAACCACTATAAATTAGATGTTTAGTAAAACTTTTTATTTAACGGTTAGAAATTAAGGGATAGTAGTGGTTAGACTTCAAACCACTAGCGAATTAAAAAAGTTACGTAAAATAACTATTTGTATCAAACTGCTAGTAAATTAAAATTTTTTAATTTTATTGATAAATTTATCATTTTTAATTTTTTAATTTTTTAATGATTCTTAATTAGTATTTATCTAATTAGTTTCAACTTTATTTTTTATTTTTAAAAATATTAAGTAATTATTATATATTTTTCATATTAATTTATTATAAAAAAATA